CGTTGTACCCGCTGTTCAGTTCGCTGAGTTGTAAGCCATTGTACCCGCTGTTCAGTCCGCTGAGTTGTAAGCCACTGCACCCGCTGTTCAGTCCGCTGAGTTGTGAGCCATTGTTCCCACTGTTCAAGCGCTTAGCTGTGAGCCACTGTCCTCGCTTTAGTCCGCAGAGCTGTGAGCCATTGTCCTCACTATTCAGTCTGTTTTCAAATCACGGTGCTCTGCTTCACCAAGAGACCCGCGCCCCTTTATGCCGACATCTCCCCGCGTACCCAGGAGCCGACAGGAGACCACCGAGCGGGCATTTCCTCGCCGTGCCGCGTCAACTTGGAAAGGCCTGCCGCCCACCACCACTATGATTTCATCTGTGGGAAAATTTAAGGCACTGGTTTCAAATGGCAAACGACAAGTCAAGCGCCGGGTTTCGAGGCCAAGTGAATGTTTTCTCCAGATACTGGTGGTCTGTGCTACTCTTGGCCCTCGTCCTGTATGCAATTCTGCATGCTCATTCCGCCCCCATGAACCTCGAAGCATATCTTTAATTTGTAATACGCATGCATTAGATTTATCGTATTGAGTTCGTGCGTGTTTTAGTAACTGACGTCATAGCGTGGCAACGGGCCGAATACCTGGAAAGCCACCTGTGGATGAGCTTCAAACGAATACAAATACGCAAATCCTCGGTGTTGATGTATCGCCAGAAGCACATTACATGGCGTTTGTCAACACAATGTTATATTTTGACTTTTGGGTCAACTTGAAACAAGTCAAATATTTTCCGTCAGAATAATAACTTCTAAAGACCATTTATAGATCTCATTTTGATCAAACAGAAGCCTCTGTATGAGTCGGTGTTTAGCAGACGATCATTTATGCTTGTCTTCGTATATTTTATATTGCCTATCTATGCTTCAGCCTGGTAATCGCATGCACATTGTATTTGACGCCATGCGGCGAAACGTCTCTAAAAGCATGAAGTGAATGCACACATATTTTCACCGACCGGAAAAGCCAAAATATGTTTATGGGTTCAAAATGACACTGTTTATCACAGGTCACAAGAACAAGAAGGTCACGACCAGACCATTGGGCTTTATCTCAGGGACAAACCGCGCGCCGCAAAGTAGACCCAGATCAGCTTACTGGACACAACATCTGGCTATCACTGCTGCGTTCTCTCGGTCACCCACAAAGGCGATTCTACTGTAACCTCCTTATCTGATGTCACCCGACACGAGTTTGCTGCCTTACTTGATGATTTTCAGCAAGTTATATGGCTTTCACGACCACACAACCGCAGGTAGAAAGGGGCCCAGGAACGGAAAGTGCATTAGCCAGTGGCCTTTGGACGCTGGAGCTGAGGCCGTGCCTGCGGTTAGTGCCGTGCGGAGTGCCTCTCCTATGCCTCCCGGCCACGCAGCCCACGCCCGGCAACCGTTCTTTCAACTACATCCGCATGCGGGAAAACGGGTCGTCGTCCGACTCGGTCCAGCAAGGGACTGGTAGCAGCCCCACGTCATAGTAAGGCGACAGCCTCGCCGGCGCACGCGGATACGTGCCATGTTACACACTCTTGCTGCGGCCACTTATCAGCAAACACAGCCAGTAGCACTAGGTCAGAGAGGCTGGTGTTGCCCCTTTCCAGCAGGGATCAACGTAGGCTCATTTGATCCAGCTTAAATCGGTGGCCAGCAGCTGTCCAAGAGGCCGAGCCAGGCGTGGAGAGCGAAGGTGGAAGGAATTGCATGCCATATTGATCGTCCACGTCTTATTCGGATGCAACCAAGTGCTGCGAAAAGCGCACACGCCCGGGCGGCCGGTTGAATACCCTTCACTCCGTTGGAGAGAGGATCAATTTGACCACCTGATATCTCAAACATTAAGAAACCGAGAGACACCAAATGCTCGGAGTGTGTTGGTTTGTATAAGAACTCAATGTGACAAAATTTTAGGCTCCTAGGCCATAACCTTGGAATGAAATAAGGCAAACAAGTTCGAACTCCTGATTGGTGTCCAAAGTGCTCTCAGATCTCCTTATAAAATCTTATTGTACCTAGATACCGGTCTAAGCAAAGATCACTGATTTTTAATAAGGTCGTTGACTTTTTTTGACGTTAAGAAGGTCAAGGTGAAAAAACATACGAAATTACTTCTATTTTGTTGCTTGAATGGGCGTCATGCACTAGGCTGGACGAAACGACTGCTTTTGTTCCCAAAGCAAAAATGTAAACCAAGGTTATCTTCAGTCAGTGACCTACTCTGACAATGAAAAGTCCATGAAAGATCCAGAACTCCAGAAAAGAAGAAATACAAAAATAGTAACGGTTATATAAGTAATACATATTGGAATGAGAACGAGAAGCTATCCCATGAAGCAGGCTCCCGAAAAAAAACTATAGTTTTTACCTCGGTCTGACCCGCATACCTGACCTTAGGTCAATAAGACTTGCTCGCATTCTAGATTTAATTGGTTTATTGCCTAAGAAATCATCTCAGCGATGCATGGTTTCGTCTGGCATTTCGTTGTTGCATCAGACTTAACCGTTCCCTAGAAGTGACCTTCACTGGCAGCCACAGCCTGACTTTGACCTACCATGAGTCAGTGACCTTACAAATTACATTTAGTTTTACGTACCACAAGATCCACTATTCAATTGTCTGCAGCCTTGTAGACTTTGACGTTTCTTTGCCGCGCTGCTGGAAAATCCCTTTGGAAAACCTTTGAAGGGGGGGGGGGTCAAATTGTCCTCACACCCGAGCGCGTGATGATATCGCCAGAAGCATCTGTCGTCGCTCAGTCTAGTTCGTACTAAGCTTGACTGCACCTGTCCGGGTTGTCACCATTCTCACGGACGTGCTCAGCGAAATGTGAGTGGGGATGAAGAGAGCGTCTCGCCGCCCCCAGGGGCAAAAGCAAGAGGACGACGTGTGCTGTCTTTGCCCCAAATGATAAACGGACGAGATAGACGCCCTCTGCATGAGCGAACGAGGGGCTCTTCGGAAATGGCAGCGATGGGCGGTCGGAGATGTATTTGCTTATAAGGGGATTGACAAGCGAGCCGAGCCTGTCAAGCCTTTCGCACTCCACACAACTATCCGTTTCATACCTACAGCCTGTCGAGTCCAGCTTTTTCCTCCGCCGTAGCTGAAACACGACTTAATCATCTTGCATCCTCGCTCGCAGCAATATTCTTGCGTAGCTTGCTATCTCGGCGGAAATGAATCGCCTGCTGACAGCAGACTTGTACCTGATTGCATGTCAGGGGAACCGAAGGGGAATTTGATCCTGATTGGCGATGTTGGCATTGAGTGCGACCCTGACGCCAAGCGGCGCGGTGTAAATTTGACGTAGCTCTAATTTCGGTTAGAAAAAAGATGACTTACTTTCGGAATTGATTCGAATGGGATGGTTTCCGATGACAATGGTCGACACGTGAGATAGAGAGCCTTGTGTGCAGGCTACCCCTGTCTTGTCTCTTGTAAAGGACTTGAAACGATGGTGATCTTAACAGGGCGGATCTAGCCCGGAGTTTGGGGGGGGGGGGGGCAGAGGGCAACCGTTCGTCGCCAGCTGGCTGATGTGGGATCCGAGGTCCAGTGCATGGTGCCTTTCGCGAGTACCTAGTAGGGACACCATTCAAAACTGAAAAAAGCACCGCAATGCTTTTGAATTTTAAACAGGAGTTAAAACAACACAGTTAAAACAGTTTAAGTTAAAACAGACGGTAAGTAGACGAAACTTTTATGAAGTTCTGGGGATGTTTTTTTTGGGGGGGGGGCAGAACATACTCTCAGAGGTTTTGGGGGGGGGGCATGGCCCCGTGGTCCCCCAGGATCTGCCTATGGATCTCAATGATGAATGCCGTCAGCTGCGACTGATCCAATAGCGGCGTCGCATATAAGCTGTCAGACTTTGAGGGCCATGCGCTTGCGTTTCTGTTTGAGTCAAATCGCTGACGACTGGTTGAATCAACTCACACTCCAAATCACAAGAAAACATCATTAGCATGCATTTTAACCTGACTAAACCTGAACCTCGTTCAGTCCGGATCAATTCTGACTTCACATTAAGTCAAACACAACTTTGGTTAACCATCTGATTTGGAGAAGCATGAAAAGCTGCCACCTAGTGACAGAATCGTGAAGTAGTCATTGCCGCGCCTCTCGTTGAGCCATGCTGACATACTTCTCGCGGCCCTCTTTCTCGCCTTTTGGTAACAACCCTGGCGAAGAAAAGCCAGAAGCGTTGTCGAAGAGGATATGTTGAGCCCCCTCGGAAGTCGCAGAGGTGCCACTTTTACCTTTAATTTTCTCCAAGACAAAAAGGTACCGCCTTTTTGGTAAGAACAACTCACAAAGGACTTCTAAAACAATGAAAAACAGACTGCGTCCCCGTGGCCTCTAATATAACCCCAAACCTAAAAACGTCCCCCAATAAGCAAACAGAGCCGCTGCGGCGTCTAAGTGGGGGCTCTTTGGCTGCAGGGACCATATGGGATCCGATTTGGCCCCATCCTGGCATAATTCTGGCTACACCTCGACACTCTGTGTCGACACTGTGTCGTTCTTAAACTGGAATTGCACTGAACAACGTTTATGAACGTCGCACAAATATTCCAGGGTCTAAAACGTAAAGTTTGCATAAACTAGCAGCTTATAGCTTCACGCTGCGCGCCAGGGCCATTGCCAGTTATAACTAAAAGGGTCACAGCAAAAGAGTAGGCACTCGGCCTTAACACAATCCACTTCTTACGGGTTGGGACAACTATATTTTACAATCTTTCCGAAATTTGTTGCAGACCTGAACACAAAAAGTACTAAGTCTAATCTTCTTGACGCCCCATGCCTAAGCCTAGGAGCTGCAAGGAGCGAGACTGGGGTGCTTTCTAGACCCAGGGGGCCGCACTGGCACCCAGCGCACCCGCCTGGGCTGGGGCGCTCTCCTGACCCACGGGGATGCGCGGGTACCCGGCTCACCCGCCTGGGGCTCGGGTGCTCTCCAGACCCGAGGGGGCGCACTGGTACCCAGCGCAGCGACCCGGGCTGGGGCGCTCTCCTGACCCACGGAGATGCGCAGGTATCCGGCGCACCCGCCTAGGGCTCGGGTGCTCTCCAGACCCGAGGAGGTGCACAGGTACCCAGCACACCAGCCTGGCTATGGGCCTGCTGCGTACCATGCTTTTTTGGTTGAATACCAACACAGCCTCGCAGAAATATACCCGATAGGAGATGTCTCATTTCACGTGAAAGTTACCCCTACCCAGTCATCACCAGCCTCTATGGAAATAAATAAAACGGACGAATGAAAGACATTTTTATGACATTCATCTATTTAGAGCCGTATGGGCTAGCTATATGTATCAAACAACATCTGTCAATCTAAAGCTCCAAAACTTCCTCATTTCGTCTCGCCCGCGACGTGTGACATTGCCCCCACGAACGCTTAAAAACATTCACACCATATACGCTGTATTCGGAGTGAGACAAGCTACGATAAATCCATCTACATACATGGACAGCGGGGCAAATTGTAGATGATATGCACTTTTGCACACAGCACAAACCACGCGATGTCCACACACTGCGCGCAAACAACATATATTGTGCCACATATTTACACATAATGTGTTCAGCAGAGCAGCGCCGGGCAGCAGCCTGTACCCTGGGATGTTTGGAACGTAGGATATTGTCCTCATGAAGTTGTGGAGGAGCTATGTTTTCAAAGCTGTGCAATTAAAAAGATATGCCGCTGATCTCGTCAGAGGCATGTTGCTTCTAAAGTATCCCGGAAATCAACGCTGGAAGGGAACTGCAGCTGACTGGAATGACATTCGGTCCCCAATGACTCCGGCTGACGGGGCTGAGTCAGGCGGGGAGGGGGGGGGGGGGCGGAAGTTTTCCGACGCGTCGCCATCCGTTCCCTGACGCGGGCCACCTGGCGCGATCCCACACCCCATTGCTCTAACGTCTGAACGACGGCAGGCGCTGAAATCGCCCTCGACTCCGCCACGCCCTCAAGGGCGCTCCGGCGCGGGTCTCAAGGAAAACAAGCACTCAAAACACGGGGTGTCCCTGCACACCCGGCGGCTGGCGGAAGTGGTCGGCGCGACCGCCGGCACTGAGTCCACACCGCTGCTCAGCCTCGGTCCATAACGCGTGCCGCGTCGCGTCATTTTCGCGCCGGCGTCGAGAGTGGCGCGGCGGCGGCGCGGCGCAGCTGCCGCCGGGTCCGCCGGCGATGGCTCCATTAGGTGGCCCTGCGCTGCCCACGCGCCCTGTTGGCGATCGGGTGAGGAATGCACCGCGGCTGGGCCGGACGTCTCCGCTTCCGGGGGGGGGGGGGGGGGGGGGCGTCGGCGTGGCGTCATCGGTGACGCTGGCATCCAGCGGCCCGCGTCGGCACCTCCTCGTCGATGACGTCCATGTGGTCGGTGCACTTGCTGTTTGCGTGTTGCGGTAGCGTTAGTGGCGGCAGGATTGGTGGTAACGACCATTAACTTTGGGAATGTCGAGCTCTGGTCCGAGCTGCGACGCGGGTAAATGGGTTAAACCTTTCATGTGCCGCTCACAAAGCTTTGTAGCGCCCTGCACCTTGTTGGAGAGTTCAGCGGGCCTCTCGTGACGAGACAGATACAAGACGCTACGTCACCGTACAACGCTCACATGCTCACGCTCATAACATCCGAATAGGTATGTGTGCGATTAGCTTCATCATTGCCCTCATTGAACCATACATCTCTAACATATGATATATTTTTTCTTTCACAAAATGAAAAAGAATGAGCGCAGGCAAAGGGAGCCACTTCTCGTCGACAGCCGTTTGGGCCTGGCGCTGACGAACTTCTCAAAAGCAGAAGGACACCTATGACTTTGAGCCCGGGGGGATCTGCATTTCAAAAACTGACAATGGCTAGTTTGTGCGCATTTCGAAATTAAAGATTAGAATTTGCTAAATGAAATTGCTTAGAACATTTCGAGAAGCGGCTCTTATCATTTGGCGATGGCAGGACACTTCCTGACACACTAATCTGCACATCGTATCAGCCAGCTGTCACTTTATTCGGACGTACCCATTTACATCGATCGAGGCATAACACTTCGATACAAAGTGTTATGGACCAATCAAAAGCTGAAACCTATTGCGCTCTTGTCACCAACCAAGGCGGCAAGTTAAGGTCAGCACATCATAACATCACTAGAGATAGCTGGGTGTAGAGAAGCAGCAGATTCCAACCAAGTTCAAACTGGGTTAACGCCATTTCGAGAGCCTTTTCTCTCTCTGAGCGTCTTAAACAGACATGTCACATCAATTATGATATGTTTTCTTCGAATCTCTATTTTCACAGCAAACTCTTTACGTTGTTCCGAAGTGCGTGTCCATTTGCCGGAACTGATGTGCTCCACTTAACGTTACAGAAATTGTGTTTATTTTTTCCTAAAACTGTGTTATTTCAGAAACAGGTAGACCTGGGCGATATATGTGCAATAGTTGACACATTTATTTGTGTCTAAAAGTAGCCAACCACGCGAAATGACCTTCCAAAATGCGTGTTGATGGCCGACTGCCTACTTTGTGTAAAATCAGCTGCTCCATGGCGTATTTCTTGCTTTTGTCGTTGCGTTATCTATATATGCTTCTAATTATAAGTTAATGCCGCTTGATGCGTATAACATGATTTGCTCTTAAATCGACGATGCAGTGAAGTGGTTCGCATTATGACATTTAATAGCTTTCATGAAGTACTCATTTTCTGTGACAGACATTGGAAGCCTTTCGTATTCATAAGTTAATCATTACCAAAAATAACAATATTTGAGTCAAACACAAGTCTAGTGATACACGTGATGGTCACTGACGGAAGACAGATTGCCATTGACATTGCTCTAGAGTTGGGTGCTGCCAGTCCTGTTAGCCACATCCGAAATACTCGCTGAATGCCATTCCGCCGCAGGTTTATTGTATTCGCCAAATGTGATTATTACTAAGCGTCTCCATGCCTTAACGAGTTATAAGGGTTCTCATTTTTGGACTTGGACCTTCGTCTAGCCTCGGTCTGCTTGGTGACCTGCTTAGAACTTCAAAATTATCACCCGGATACAAAACAGATGGCACTAAAATTGCATCACTAAAAACAATGATAATAAAAGGCACTACAATTCGTGTCGCTGCATTGACCTTTTGTACTAAGCCTCCGAAACAGTAAAAGGGATGAGCTTCTGTAAGCCTTGCCGAGCCCGGCTCAGATCCTGTCTTCATTTAGCATAACAGCGTAGTTTTAACAGAAATTTCACCAAAGTTGTCCTTCGAATTGTCACTCCAGTACCGAAATGGGTAGGCAAGATATAATGTAATGACGCTTCCATGCGGGGCACCTGCGTACAAGATGTTTAAAGGTTCGCCATGCACAGACAAAATAAGAAAAAATTGTAGGGTCGAATCTATTTACGTTTTAAAGCCATTGCAACAACATGACGGTGGAAGGGGTAATGATACGTGATAGGCAATGATGACAGCTTACGAAAATAGCAGCGGTACCTAGAGAATGACGGATTTTGCCTTGTAGTAAGTATATTTCTAATCTCACATCATCTCCTAGCCCGTCTTGAGGCCATAGGCACAGCAAATAAAGCTATCGAATGTGGTCGGCTGATATTGGGGAAAATCCCCAGGCGGTTGTTTGAAACCTTATAGTATGAACTGGTATTTTACCAGTTTACCGGTTCTGGTATTAGCAATGCAATCCGACTGATGTGAAGGAACTTCATTATGGTAACGTATTTAATGAACAAACAATATGTGCGAAGAATATATTTTCCCTCCAAGAAAATTATCGGGATGGGGGAGACTGTCCCTTCTTATCCGACGATAGCGGTGGACGTGTCCCCCGAACCTCCCCCCCCCCCCGGATGGCGCCGCCCCTGGTCACTGGTGACCGATGGTGAGCCTAAATTAGACCGTCCTAGTCTAAATCAGGGCCTAAAACAGACTGTCCGTACTAGGCGTCTGTCGCAGCTATAATCGAGCAAGTATCTGCCATGCCTAACAAGGACTGCCGAGTGACACTGAATGACACCAGTGTTTAACTGAATACCCCACACAAAGGCTATTGACACCGCCTCACAACAGGGGAAGATCGCAGAACGCAACGTGGTGGATGTTACCTAGGCGGCAATTTTCTGAATAGCATGCTGGCTTGCGATGAAATCTAGACTCGCTCGTGGAAGCTAGAAAACGCCAGAGCAGGGCGTGTAAGGAGACCGATTAACGCCGATACAGGCTAGAAAAGTAAATAGGATCCAAGTGAACAGGCTAGAGAAGCAAATGGGACCTAAGTAAACAGGCTAGAGAAGCAAATGGGACCTTTCCGTTTTTTACTGCAGCGCATGTTGCGACGTGCCAGCTGCGGCGAAGACTGTGATCTCGGAAACGACACACACTCGCAAGGCTTTTGTGAATGGAAAGGGACGATCGCAAAATATAGGAATGATAATGTGAAACTGAAGTGAATCCAATGAAGGGTCACGCGATAATCGTCGCCAGGTTGCCGCAAATGTCTGTCTTGCAACGTTCGTCCGGCTCGCGACGGTGGTGCGTTTGGGCACTAAGTCATCATAGCACATGTTTGTCACTCAGTTCTCCGCGTGCTTCATTTTCTATGGTATTTTACTGAAACATATACATAAACAACAACCTAATCATCCTAGTGCTGCACCAGCCTAAGCTTCCTAAAAGGTTTCAGTCTACTCCACTAAGCGGTGACCTATAAAATGTGCCACATCGTCATGGGACCCATGAGTGGATTTATCACAAACTCGATGCTCTCCATCAGTCATCAATTCTTTCAACAACATAACTTGTGAAACGTCACCGATGCCAAAATTCAAGTAAGGGAGCCGAACACCGCAGAAGGTTACATTCAGAGCCTCCAGATACAACGCAGCAAGTAACCCGATGAGAGCCTTCCACGACCATCGTGAAGCTATTGGCGAGCGAGCCGAGAACTTTGAGGCCGCGGCCAGAGATCAATGGCCTGAATTATTTAATACGCTCGCTTCCAAAGGCGTGCTGACATGGCGAAGTTTGCGGGCGTATATAAA